GCCAAACCAAACGCCTTCCGGAACCGATGGCACACATAGAAGCCACTCAAACCATTCAAAGAGCCAAACAGTTCTATGCTGTAAGCCATGGACCAGATCTCCATCTTGTCTTTCCAACTCTTCACCAGTTCTTTACGTTTCAACCAATTCTTGTCAATTGTGTCCAAATATGTGGGGAATCTCGTAATGACTGCCATTTGCTCTTTACTTAACTTCCCAGTCGTGGTCTCATCACTCCTCACCACCAATTGATTCACTTGTGGTTCATATTGTGCTGATATCTCTTGAATCTTGGATTCCTCGCTCTTCCAGTACTCCTTGAATGGTATTTTCCATTGCATTGCGATTGTCGTGTCTATACTTCAGTACACTTCAGGTTACAGTTCAATGAAACTAGTGTTCAGTTTATGATTGTTATGTGTTTGGGTTTATGCTATACTCACTGTTATTATAAATGCATAACAATTAACAGTTAATTATAATTGAGTTTCAGTTACTGTTATGAATGCAAGTGGTGTCACACAATGTAAACAGTGTCTCATGTGTCTCATCAATGCATGCATTCATTGATTCATTCAAAACATTCACTGCAACACAGAGGTGTCCACAGGTGTAGTGCAGTGCAGTCACTGCACTCAAGCGTACAGTGAGTGCTCAGTGTATGACATATCACTGTATGTATGGTTTGAATGACAATAATATTCTGAACGAGAATTACTGCGAAACCTATCAGTGAATGACTTTTGATTTCTAATCATATGATAATTACAATTACTTGTAATCTTTTAATTATACATTACTCATAACACTTAATGATGTGATTATAGGTAATTATATGAAATAAATTGATATAAAAGGACATTTGAGTTGAATATCTGCCAAACATCTGTATATCATATATGAAATAATATTGGATTCCGTGAACTGTATTAGACTTATATTAAGAGTATTAACGAGTTTTGACATTCAATTCAATTCATACCAAACCTGTTAAACGAGTCAATAATTAGCTGTTATTTATACAAAACTATCATTTGTTTGAAAGCGAGAGTCATTTGAAACGTAAGTCAAGTTGTGATCACTTTTTAATGAATGCCAAAAACAAGTTCATTATCACGTCTATCAATAATCATGCCATTCATGGGTTTGTCTCATACAGAGCACATCCCGTCCCAATCCAATCCATTGATGGCAACCAAAGGTGTAGTGTTCGTGACGGGAGCGGCCGGTTATGTGGGATCTCATAGCGTTTTGGAGCTCATGAAGAATGGCTACGATGTGGTGGCGGTCGACAACTGCAGCAATGCTGTCATCCTCGACGAGACCAATGGTTTGGCCAAAAACGGTGCCACTCTTTCAGGTCATCACACTTTGCCAGAGAGTCTGCGACGAGTGGAACAGATTGTGGGCAAGAAGTTGAAGGCCTTCTATAAGGTGGACATCTCTGACGAGAAGACAATCGATGGCATCTTCGGTGCCAACAAATTCGATGCAGTCATCCATTTCGCAGCCCTCAAGGCTGTGGGAGAGTCGTGTCAAATACCTCTGGCCTACTATCGCAATAACGTCGGCGGAACCGTCACTCTGCTCGACATCATGAAGAGGAATGGCGTCAAGAAGTTTATCTTCTCGTCTTCGGCCACAGTGTACGGCTCTGCAGACTATCTGCCTATCGATGAAAGCCATCCGACGGGCAGGAACTGCACGAACCCATACGGAAAGACCAAATACTTCATCGAAGAAATACTTAAAGATCTCTGCGTTTCAGAGAAGGGATGGTCTGTGGCTTCTTTGCGATACTTTAATCCCGTCGGCGCTCACGAGTCCGGAGAGATCGGCGAAGATCCGCACGGAGTGCCTAACAATTTGATGCCTTATTTATGTCAAGTGGCGGTTCGGCGCAGACCTTATCTCAATGTGTTTGGCAATGACTTCAAGACCAGCGATGGCACTGGTGTTCGCGATTACATCCATATTATGGATTTAGCGAAAGGACATGTCATGACTTTGGACACAATGCTCGCAGAGAACTGGAACGGTTGGAATGTCTTGAATCTGGGCGCCGGTCGCGGCTATTCTGTTCTCGATGTATGTATACATCGTTTGTTTGAGTTCTTGTCTCCAATAGTTTCATGAGTTTTTGGTCACTATTTTAGGTGATCTCAGCGTTTGAGGAGTCGACAGGAGTGAACATTCCCTACAAAATAGTTGACAGACGTTTGGGAGACATCGATGAGCTCTGGGCTGACGTCCAGAAGGCTAACGACAAACTCAATTGGAAGGCAGAGCTATCGTTGAAGGATATGTGCGCTCACAGCTGGAAATGGCAGTCAAAGAATCCGATGGGCTATCAGACCAGTGAAGTGGTTGCTGTCAAAAATGGTGTCTCCAATGGAAATCATTCCAATGGTAATGGTGTGAACGGAAGCAATGGAAACAATTTAAAGGCAATTAATGGCAATAAGAATTAAGGTCTTCACAGCACTCGTTTAAATTTGCATCAAATTTACGTTAAAATCTTTATTGTATTAATAATACGGTATTGAAAACTAGTCTTTAATTTATTTCGCTATTTATTGACTCGTTCTTAAACATCGCTTACAATGACTTGTTATTTAAATATCATTTAGTAATGGTTTCACACAATGAAAATGTTTTAAAACTCTATTTTAGCGCTCTTTAAATGTTTTGTTATAAAACCTATTTATTATTATATTAATGATTGTACTGTAAAAATATTTATTCTTTAAATAAAAGCTATTTCTCGTAAATTCTTTTCTGAATTATATTTAGCGCCAAATGTGGAGATATAGAGGAGATGTGCATCTCTTTGAGGGCTACCTTCGCGTCGGTGTTATTGCGGTCGTCGACCAGAATGTCTTTGAGGAGCAGATGAGTGCCTCTCTCGAGGTTCAGTAGTTTTAGCGCTTCATTAAGTGTTGCGAAATGGAGTTGAGGTCTCGTTATATATAGTCTGAAAACAGACAGCAATCCAACCGATATGTCGTAATCCATTTGTTTGGCACCAAATTCATTGAATGAGTTCTTGAGAATCACATCTTCCAGTAAACTTCGATTTATCTGATCCGCCATTTCGTGTAAAATGGTGTCGAATAAAGTGTTTGATAAAGATTTTTGCAATGAGACTAAGTTTGTAGATATAAAGTGCAATAATTGCGAGGCATTAGGACTCAGGCAGTTGTCTATAGATTTAAGACAAAACCATTTGGTCGACTGATATGCCTGTAGTTTATCTCGAAATTCACTTAAAAATAAAGTTTTTATTTGGAGAATGAATTCATTCAACACGTGTTGAAACAGTCCTATAATTGGGTCAAAGACCGTCTCATTCGGTGAATATGTTTCTGATATTTGCACAAAAAATGGCAAAATCTTCCACTCATTTAAGACTACAATCAAGTAATTAAATGTATTAATAATAGCGAAGTACTGTTGAGAGTGCGGCCACGACTGGTCACTCGTGTGGATCAATTGGATGAGTCGCAGTCGGAAGTCATCCAATATATCGAGTTGTAATCTCACGAATGAGTACTTCAGTGAGTTATCCGTAAACAGAGAGCACCGGTTGGTTATGGACTGAAGCATTAGCACAAAGTTGTCGCCGCACTCACAGATCCGCAACTCATCGATGCCTTCGTGGCCACACATCTCATTCCATGCGCTCTTCGATGAGACAATCAATTCAACAAATTCTGTCGATTTCTTCTTCTCCAGAGTTATGATTCGTGTGAAGAATGGCTCACAAGAGAAGACATTCATTAGATTGCAATTCGGAAACACTTGATATATATTGGGCTCAATGTCTAAGAGCTCGCGACTAAAGACCAACACTTCATCGACGGTATGCGTGAAGAGTTTGTCATCGAAGACAAGTGAAGGCAAATCGTGTTTGAGTTTAGCGGTCAGGCATTCAATCAAACCACTAATCAATTGCAGTTTCGATGGAACCAATTGACTCGAATGGCTTCTTAGCAATGGATCAATAGTTTGTGATAAGAATGTCTCGTTTTGTCGAATCCATACCAGAGTTTGCGATAAATACCATTCGGGCTAAACATATGGAGTAAATGTTTGGATGAAATAGATATCAAGGAATGGATTAACACCTGAAATACCTTTTCAAGTCTATTGAGTTTGCTTTTGGTTTCCATGAAATGGTATTGAAATCGCTTCTTAAGCGGAGTTATCATCACTTCAATGGGCAGAAGAAGGTCTGAATCAGGTGTTTGTGACAATCGTTTGCATTGCATATCAATTGTGATTAAAGCGTTGAAATACAAGACAAATGAAGTGATAGTCTCGGCGTTTGAATGGCTCTTATGGTCAGTGATATTGTGAGCATTAATTGTCGGCCAATCGATGCCTTCAAAAGTTAGGCTCAACTTGTGTTTCAAAGCATTGATGATAATTGGTTTCCAATGGACTATAATGTGCCACAAATAGTCTCTCATTATCTCATTGCCGTGTATTTCATGGAAATCTTTGTACTCATTGACCAGTTCTGTGAACCACTCACTGATAGTAACCACTTTGGTCTCGAAGTCCTTACTATTCTTACTGTTAACCACATGTGTCTCTAAGTTCTTGTGGATTGTCGCAATTGTGGCCAAATGTGTCAACAGCTGATCCAATTTGACTAAACTCTCGAAAGTGTGCAGAAGTGGCCATACGTTGTGCAAAATCTCTTCAATTTGTGTGAACTCTGAGTTCAGATCAATGGCACAGCTCTTCAGCCGTCGGATACACTCTTTCATCGATAATGCCTTCAATTCATAGCTTTTAATCTTTTCATTCAATTCACTGTTAGACTGATTGTCACAAACACTCAAAGTGAGACTCAATTTATCTAATTTGGAGACTAATCGCTCGTATTTCACACTATTTGCCGACATTTGTATCGATATAACGGTAGACACTATCGCACCACTCATTCACCCATTCATTCACTCAGTGTTCAGTGAATTGTCAGCAAAATAGTGATGACATGTGTTTGCATTGCATTTGCAAACATCAACACAATTTCTACGCAAACCTAACCTAACCTCACATACAAACTGTGTGTCTATTTTGCCAGTTTATATAGCCTTTCACAGTTACCAATAGCACCGGTATGCGTGAAAATGGCGTCAGTGCCACCATAGCTCAGTGGTTAGAGCACTGGTCTCGTAAACCAGGGGTCGTGAGTTCGAACCTCACTGGTGGCTATTATTTTTTGATACACTTTACCACCAGTTATCTCACTTTTACCACCAGTTATCTCATATGACATCTCTGTCATAGTGTGCTGTCACTGCTGTGTCTGTCAATTGCATTAATCCTGAAAAGTGTTGAAAGCAAAGCAAATAGCGATCACTTGATTTAGTGCTAAACTTATGGTCACATGACATGCATTACCTCTGCATTGAATGAAACATTACTTTCTGTTTCATTGCATTTCAATGTTTATACATTCTGAACAATATGTCATCACTTTTGTTATCAATGTCTATAAATGTATTGCGAGAATAGCTCGCTGTGTGTTTGGATCAGTTGACGACATGTCTGACATTTATGGTATAGTCGAGTACTTTGGCTCTAATGATGAGTCACATCCGTGTGGTTATTGTAAGACAATGAAAGACGGGAACACCGATTATGGTAAGTGTCGGTTCGGTAAGTATGGACACGGATTGCACACAAAGCATACATTGATTTGGTGTGCTTTTTACCTGTCCCTACACCCGGGTGTCTGAGAGATTGTACTTAATGGTCTTGGAATAACTAGCGTTAACCTCTTCTTCACCATTTATGACAATATTTGGCCAAGACCTCGCCTGGACAACAGGCTACATGACAATCAGGTATGTCTTACGGATGTCATGAATGTCTGCAATGAGTACATGAGTGCATGTCTTCAGATGTGATGCCATCATTATCTGTCAAACTCTAGTCATAACATTGGGTCAAATACTATGACAATCACAAACCGCTAACACTTTCAATACTCATAGTATTTGACCCAATGTTATGACTAGAGTTTGACAGATAATGACAATGAATACAACTTTATATTGATTTGAATGTGGTGAATAAAATGCCAATATGTATATATGTATAGCAGTGAAGCAACTGAATCCATAATGATAAGTACACAGTAGTGTATTGAAAATAAAACGGACCATTAATTTGACTCTTGGAGAGAAGCACTTTATCGAGATCGACGTCGCCGTGAAATAAGACATTTTCGTTAATAAAAGTCATTAATTCCATGTCTGGGAATAGTTTTAATTTATATATTATTATCAGATTTGTAATTGTCGTCAGTATTGATATGACAAGAATTAGGACAACAAATGATACGAAACCAACCGCTTCCAGACCCTTCATTTGGATCTATTCATAGAATTATGATTATATTATAAAATTATTTTAATATTTATAATACAAACCTTTTTCTTATCACTCATTCCGTATTAAGTAATTAAAGAATTTTATTCAATTTTATCATTCATTCAGATTCTGTTCAGTATAGATATGTAATGAATGTATTAGTGGGTGTGGCTATCACTTCAATGAAGCTGTTTTTGCTCATGTATTCTGTGATTTACTCAATATTCTCTATACTGTAGATTATATAGCACTCCAATTCTAAAGGCTTATTTTTAATTAAACAAATAAAACTTTTGAAAGTTAAGCATTTATTAATGTTTTATAAATTATAATGTACTGTATTGGTTTAAAGTATTATAAATAAATAAACATACAGTATAGCCAAAAATATATTTATTGTTTTAAAAGAATTTCAATAAAGAATTAATTTGAATATCAAATTATAATTTGTTTAAGAATTTAACATTTTTGATTGAATGATGAATCATATGTTTGATTTTGTATACATCAAAGTCAATGACTACTGAAGAGTGAAATCAAAATGTTTAAATTCTTCTCGGATTCTGTTGGCGATGGCAATGGCCTCGTCGTCGGGCAGAGAGCACTGCTTCCAATCGACCCGATCTCCACAGTTCAATTATCATTCATTCAGATTCTGTTCAGTATAGATATGTAATGAATGTATTAGTGGGTGTGGCTATCACTTCAATGAAGCTGTTTTTGCTCATGTATTCTGTGATTTACTCAATATTCTCTATACTGTAGATTATATAGCACTCCAATTCTAAAGGCTTATTTAGATTTGCTTAATTAACTTTTGAAAGTTAAGCATTTATTAATGTTTTATAAATTATAATGTACTGTATTGGTTTTAAGTATAATAAATAAATAAACATACAGTATAGCCAAAAATATTTTTATTGTTTTAAAAGAATTTCAATAAAGAATTAATTTGAATATGAAATGATAATTTGTTTAAGAATTTAACATTTTTTATTGAAAGTCAATGACTACTGAAGAGTGAAATCAAAATGTTTAAATTCTTCTCGGATTCTGTTGGCGATGGCAATGGCCTCGTCGTCGGGCAGAGAGCACTGCTTCCAATCGACCCGATCTCCACAGTTCAGGACAGAGGGATGGGCTAACAGTTCTCTGCCGAGTTGTATCGGAAAGAACTCATTGGTCTTAATACGAGTAAACACTTTTCCATTGGGGAGTTCCATATAAAAGTAAGGAATGCCTGGATTTAACACATCCTTCAATTCGAGATCATCTGAGAGTTGCTTGAAATCAACATTTCTCTGTTCGGTCTGTTCTAAGACAACGGATTTAAGGTCTTGTGCTTTGGATTTGGGAATAGAAACGCATTGTATTTGCAGATGAGATGACTTGAAGTTGCGCTCAAAAAACACAACCGACTGTGACTTTGAATCAAAGTATTTAATGAGCGCTGATTTAAATCGATTCAACTCATTGGCCACCTCTTCACTCTCCAACTCTATGGTAGACCTCAAGTGATCGATCGGTAATATAAGCAAATGCTCGTCAGTGAGCCCTCCCTTAGCCATAGCCAGGTAAGAGTGGTCTCCAATTGATATAATCAGATGTTTCTCGACCTGAGGACTGGCCAAACAGAACCAACACTCCTGAGGATTCATCGGTGGTCTCTGTTTTCTCTCACGAAACTCATTGTTTTGTTGTCTTTTCCTTTTATTATTATAACTCCTATTCTGGTTGTCATGCCTTTGGCTCAAATCGTAGAAGAATTGCGTGGATTCGTTGGACTTGTCTTTAGTAGACATTTCATTCTTGGCCTCAAATTTAATATCAAAGAACGGATTCTCTGTCACATCAGTCGGCTGTTTGATCAACTCGTTTGCATCGATACCTTTGGCGGGAGTGATAGCGAAGGCATACAACCACTTCTGCTTGGCTTCGTTGGCCACATCGGCCACAGCTATAAATCTAGTCACGTGTCGGGCCGTCTCAGCCAACACGCGGTGGTTCCGGAAGGGATGCCTTTCGTAGAAACTATTATAACCACTAACCAAGTGATAGCGCGGACGCAACAGAAGTGACAGTTTAGACACCAATTCAGAGCCAAACTCAGAGTTCTTGTCCTCCAATGACTTCTCGTGTCCTTCAGTGTAACGAAACACATGTTTAGGCCATTGACTGGTCAGCAAGAGGTCGACCACCGATGAAGAGCTTTGATGCGACAGAAGTAACGACTCGTAGTCTTTCATATCAAACGTACTCTTATCACCACTTTTGCCATCAGTTGATTGGTTTCCACTGAAGTAAGCGATTCTTAGGCCGGAACTGCCCGTAAGTATGCCTTTGCGGCCCAAATAAGTGATGCCATCGATTAACTCAAAACCTGATTCATAGTCACTGTTGGGGTCATCAGTCTTATAGTACTTCACGAGTCGTTCATCAGTTGCTCCCAATATATAGATAGGAATGGATGGCAAACAAATTGATCCGTGGATTAAGTCATTGTACTCTTCATCGCAATCGACACCAAAGAACTGACCGACACATAGGACCACATCAAAGGGCCCCGACTTCTTGTTCACGACACTGATCCGACTAAACAGTTGTCTGTATTTACCCCTCACATCACCACAAACTAATATCTTTAGTGTTGCTGAAGACATGTTAAATGGTGACCAAATATACAGGTACCAAGTACAATTTATAAAATCCTATGATATTTACTTTGGATTCAAAACTTGTAAAAATGAATTCAATTTTGTATTCAAAATAATCACAAATTACGTGAATTTATAACAATTTTTATTAACAGTTTGAAAGCAATTGAATTTAAAATAAGGATTTCAATTGAATTCAATTAGATTTATGAAAATATGGGAAATATTGGATTATTTTTAGAATTCAATTCATAAATAAATTGGTTTCTAGTTTAATTGGCGTTATATTTACTCAATTTGTGGCACTTTTAGGCTCTCAAGTGTATTCAAATAACTTATTTTAAGTGAGTTTAATGTCTAAACAGTAATATTCTTGCGGAACATTTCCTTCCTATGAGTTTAGCGTATTCTTTGATCTGTTTCTCTTCATTGCGATCAATGGCGCGAACAGTCTTATAGACAAGGAGTGACATATCGGTGCTGTTGTACAGAATCTTAATCTCTGCGTCTGTTAGTGACTTGGAGTCGCTGTCCATAGCATTGGGGTTGTCTTCGAAACGACTATATTTAGTTAGATCTAACTTTGGGACACATTTGGTGATTGGATGCCATGAAAACGTTTCGCCACACAATAGATCCGATGGACTAAACCGCCCCTAAATTAATAGTTAGACTAATTCTTAAGAGACTCATCACTGTTTAGAACTATTTCGATGATTACCTTATATCTCATTTTAGGACACGAATGGATATAAAAGCCCATGTAGTAATACTTAAGATCCGGTAGGTATTGTTGTAGTCTCCGCACTAATTGCAATTCTCTACATAATATTAATCGAGTATTAATTATATTTCACGTTTGAGTTAAGAAAGCATTTCATGTCAACCTCAGAGCCGAATAGGTTCCAAGAGATAAGAAGTCATATTCGGGATCGTAATAGAGGTATACAGAGGACACACAATAAGGCAAGACATCAATAACTCCAACGGCTATAAGCTTATTATCCAACCAATACTGTTGATGGAAAGATCCCAAGTGATCGGGCAATCCATCACTTGTCACACATCTCTCATTCTATCAATTTATTACAATTGTTATAATCATATATTTAGTAATTCTATTCAATTGCTAAATATAAACCTCAAGAGGAGAATCGATTAGAAATCTCTTGTATTGCTTTGAACTGCATTTGTCCAGAGAGTCGCCGTGTATTGACATCTGGTATTTGCGATAAACTTCATGGCTTTCTTCAAAAGTCTGTTTGTATTCCTCAGTAGTTGTCGACACAAAACGTATCTATAAATCAAATTTCATTCTCATATATACCGGTATATTACAACTTTACACACAAAATAAATATTACTTTAAGTTTATGTTTTGCATTCAAAGAAGTCTCGATTTCATTCAAATAATCTTCAAGTGATTTGCATTTGTTTTTAGCGATCGCTTTGCTTTTAAAGTTTTCACTCATTATCTCCAGTCCTCTCTTTTCATCGCATTTTTCTTTAGCCATTATTTTTCGTAATTTTCTCTCTTTCCTAATATTCTTTGCCTTTCCTTTCCGTCTTTCCATCACTTTATCATCACTTTTATGGTCACAACTCATGACATTAACACTAGTATTGATATCATTGTCTATAATCTTCTCAACGGACTCTTTGTTTGGTTCGGCACTCCCTTTGTATTCATTTTGTGACTCTTTCTCATTGAAAAGTGGTTTGACTTGTGGTCTATCGTCCATCACATCCTTTACCTGTATTTCACTTTCAATTCTTTTACTCGACTTTTCACCGCTTATTATAAATCCATTCAATTTTTTTATCACTTTTTTGTGCGATTTTCTGAGTTTGAAGTTAACGGCATCACATCTGAAGACATGCACTCATGTACTCATTGCAGACATTCATGACATCCGTAAGACATACCTGATTGTGTACATCGGACAACAGGTCCGCTCCAGAACCGGTTTATAACAGTATTTACCACTTCTTCTCCAATTGCGATCAATAAGGTTCTGGTAATTCATGTTAGAGAGTCTGTGGGCCCACATCCCTGTCCAT